TCCTGACCCCCATATTCTGAAGCAGTTCTGATATCTTTGTATTTATCACTAAGAGAGTTTAAAAGGGCAACTACTTGTTGATCATCAGAAAGTTCGTCATCACAGCTTTCTAAATCCTGAATTAATTTTGTGAATCTATCAAGGTTATCTTCCAATTCAGATGAGGGGTCAAATCTAAAGTTGTAAAATAGCCTCAAGAGGTAGCACTTATTAGGCATAGTTTTGGTCAGATAAAGAGATTCCAATTTGATCCATAAGGCTTGTGCAGAGGTAGTTCCACCAACCTTTCTAATCACATTATCACACAAATGCAAGAAAATGGAACTCCATGCAGTATCATCAAGTTCTTGCCTTCTATAGGCACTTGTTTCTGTAGCCCATTGACCATTGAGGGCTGCAACACACCTTTACTGAAGTAAAAGGGCCCTCATCTTCTAGCGCCATACACTAAAGTCTCCAGTACCATTCCATGTCTCAAGTTCAAACTTATGTGCAGTAGACATGATAACAGATAATATTCACAATTGCAATTATACAACAAACAGAGTATAATGATTCAAGCAATAAGCACAATTGACCAAGATACGTGAATAACAGAGATAGCAAGATAATTACAAGTATGTGCTCTTATCAATGCAATTCACAAAAACAATCAATTCTAATTTAGAAAACAGTATTGTTACAGTTTTGAACAAGGTTTAAGAGGTGACAACCCTTTGAACCCACTGCTCCCTCAGATTCCCAGACCTTCGCAGGAGGTCTTGGACAAAGGAAAACAATGGAGAACTGCTTACCTTAATAACCAGGTTCAAAGACTGAAGAATGCTATGAGAAAATAATACCAGATTCTGAAACCTCAATGTCTTAGAGTGAAGAAAGCAATGGAGAAATACCAGAATCGATCCAATAGTTCTAAGTTGAATGCAGGAAAGCAACGAGTCACCAAGACTCAGTGGAAACCAGCAGTGAGTTACAGACTCAACCAAGAATCGGAATGAGTTAATCTAACTCGCCAGACTCAGTAGAGTCAAGAACCAGAATCACTAAGACTTAGTAGAAACACAGGATTAACAAGAAGTTACAACAAGTTAAGGCGAGTGAACACGGAAAAATAATTTTTCTTCACAAAGAACCACCCGACTTCCCAAGAACCCATATATGCTTCAAAGAAAAACAAAGAACCAAGAACCCTAACCCAGAGACGAAGCTCTAATACCACTTTTAAGGTCTCAATCAACAGATATCAAAGGATCGG